GGGGGGGATGCTTCAAGCTGCTTCACATACACCCATGAACAACAACACACCCAATGGGGATGAGCAAAAACACACTTTTCATAGATTAACACACTGACACATCCACGCGGATATCTAGCAACCATCTAAATCCACAGAGACATCCTGGGGTGATAATCATTAAGATCACAGCAATCTTTGATAATTATGATCAATGAGGGAAATCTCTTTGCATCTCACACAGATTAACACAATTCCTCTAAAGTAGTTTTCAAGAATAACAAAAACAGTAACGCTGAGATGGATGTGGTTTGCAGTTGGTGAAAAAGAGATGTAATCCTTGTGACATTAATCACATCTATTTAAATTCTTTCACAGTTAGTCCTCTTCAAACTGGTTGACATTGTTGTCTCACTGTTCCCATTAATCACAAAACATTTCTCAGTGCATTGAAGCAGGTACGCCTACTGATGCAGCATTAGAGAACAGGAGTACGGTAGCTACATATAGTTTCCTGCCATTTAGTTTTAAGTACTTTAGTAATAAGGTTGTGAGCCTGGTTAGCTTTGAAACAAAAGGACCGTGTAGGATGTGGCTGCTGCCTTCCTGCTGACTCAAATTTAACTGTAATGGAATTACATGCAATTACCCTGCCTCCCCACTGGCCCAGCCACAGAGTCCCTGAATAAAGGCAAACACACACTGCAACATTCACAGTTTCTGCTTCAAAGTGATGCCCTGCAAAGTGGTTTCAAAATACTTCAGTGAGGTCAGACAAAGAAAGAGCCTCTGTTGTGCCACATTCACTCATTCTCTACTCGTTTTCTGGGGCACAAGAAGGGTCAAACCCATTTCAATTCCTAAAAGTAAAAAGTAGAATTGGACATGAAATTGAAAAAGTAAAAAAAAAAGTGCTGATAAAGAAAATGAAATGGAATTGACCTCCACTCTGAAAGAGGACGTGGATTTATAAATGACCTGCAGAAGAAAATATAAAAGTATTAGGGTAAAAAAATTAGATAGAAAAAGCAGATTTCAACTTTTCTACATTGGCAAAAAAAAAAAAAGGTGTGCAACATGCACACATGCATGAATGCACTCACATCTGCAAACTGCGTTTGGAAGTGAAACTCATTTATTATGATGTCCCAGTGATGAGGCATACAGACAGAGAGAAAAAAGTGTATGATGCAGCCGATGCCTTCCTTTCAAAAACAACATCAAATGAATTAGTCACAATCTCTAGGGTTATCGTATATCAGTGAAATAAATCATTTGCTACAGTATGCAATAATTGACCATTTGGTTATTGTTGCTATGTAAGTGTTGGCTGATACAGACACAAGCTGTCTTTGGGGGTTGAGAGGATAGAGTTTGAGGGCGTTGTGGTCTTGTGGTTGTCTGAAGACCCTGATCAGGCAAAATAATGTCAAAGTAAATGCTTTAGTATTGATCTGTTTCTAGTCCCCTCAGTCCATAGCATGCGGTATGATAGTCCGTATGCAGGCTACATGGTAGACAGACAGCAATGCACACCTACTGCAGTCTGGAAAACCCTTCTTAAGGATGGAGACTGAGCCTTGGCTCTGAAATTGTGGGTAATTCATTCCATCTCCTGTCAAATGATGTGTATCATGAGGACTATGTTATGCTCTGCTAGCTCAGTTCCCTTAGAAAGGAACAGAGGTTTGTATCCAATAAGTAACTTTACTGCAGATATAAAGCCTTCAGTTGCTATATTAGGTAAAAGAAATGCTTGACTCTTAGCTTTAAGTCCATAATAATCTGTAGTTGGCTTTGAGGTAGATGAGCGTCTCCAGGTTCTTTGGTAAGATGCGGCCTCTCTCTGGCCGCAGACAGCGCCCGGCAGTAGTGAAAATGCTCGCCACTACAGTGCCACAGGCAGGTATGGTAAACGCTCTCTTGGCCACCTGGGCGAGCAGAGGAAAGTCAATCGCTTTACGCCGCCAGTAATGCAAAGCCTCCTCGTCCGTGGGTTCCTCTCGTAGGTACACGGCCAACTCCTGCTCTAGGCTCTTGGCCTGTGTTGTGGGTCTCTGCTTGATGAAAGAGAACAGCTTACAGGGCCGTGAAAGTGAGGAGACCGGCGATGGAGCTGGAGCAGGAGGGGTCTGGGATTGAGGATGTAGGTCTGTGCTGGGGTCTAGGGGGCTGGAGGCTGTGGAATGTTTGGATAACTCCTCTATGAGAACTTGTCTGTGCCAGTCAGGGTTACTGCTCCAAGTGAGCTTGAACTGGGGGTCCAGGGTGGTGGCAGTGATGTAGAGGGGGTCCTCCAGGATAGGGGCCAGCCGACTCTCTAAAGCCTGGCTGAGGCCCACCAGGAGAGACGGGCAGTGAGGGGTTGACGTTTCAGAGAGGTGCTTTCGAAGGCCCAGAACACACGGCAGAGCCAGGCTGATGGACACGTGTCTGTCTGTCTGCATGTCTGCCTGTCTGTCTCCGTGCACCATGTCCCAGGCCTCAGTGAAGGGCTCCAAAGTGTCAGTGAGCTCTCTCAGCAGGGCTCTCTCTGACCCACCCAGAGCCAGCTCCCCCGGACCACTCATCTCCTCCAGGAACTCCACTGAGTCCAGCAGTCGCCGAAGCACCTGCACCAAAATGAAACAAATTTTTTTTTTTTTTAAACCATGGAAACATACTGTTGATTCTCACATTCCTCGGTCTCATAACATAAATCTCACAGCTACATAATCAGGCTATGAAACTAATGTTATTGTGGAACCATACTGGTAATGCTTTATTTTAACCCCCAAAATGTATCCTTTGAAGCAAAATATAGACAACCAATAAATGGCTCATAAAGTTCTGTTCAGTTCAGTCATTTCATTATCACAGATGGGAAACTTGACACACAGATAAAAAAACAGCAGAATTACAAACAAATGTTTCCTGTACAGGAAAACAACTCATTGGAAGCAGATATTGGGACAATTTTAAGTGTTTATCAATGTATTTGTCACTCTTACTCCTCCTTGAAACCTCCATAACTGTTGCAACTGGTGATTGACAACAATAGAATAAATGTAAAACAGTTTTAATATATCGTGCTATATTGGTGATAGACAATATCATGAAAAATATAACGAAATATAGTTTACATACATTAATAAAAGCTTAGAAATATCCTTATACTTGCTGATAATTACGTTACAGTGTGTTATAAAGTGTCTCATAAATGTCTATATACTGCTTAGGGGAGTTAAAGTGCTATCTGTACATATGACTTAGTAATATTACGTACCTTAAGCTGGGCAGCCCAGTCTTTTGCTGCAGGAGGGGCATTTCCTGGTCCCCCTATGATCAACCCAGGACCATCAAACACCTGAGTAAGTTTCTCAGGTGGGACGGCAGAGGTAATGTAGTTGTAGAAACAGGCAGCCTTGGCCAGTGTGGAGGAGAGCTGCGGACAGGAGTGTAACCCCTCGCTAACACACTGTTCAAGAGAGCGAGAAAAACAGTCCACTCGACAAACACCCAGACCCTGCTCCCACGAGTCCTCCCATTCTCCTTCCTCTCCACCATCACCGTGGCCATTCCTGATCCCTTCTTCCACATTGTTACCATTGTCCAGCTCTTCTTCATCTTCTTCGTTCTGCATTTTGGCGAACGGAGGTGAAACCAGGAAACCAGGAAGACAGCACGGCTTTACTGCTGTTGTTGCCAGCAGAGGGTCCGCAACAACACGAAACGCTCTGCCTGACACGCCGTGAGAGTGACACACTTCATCAAAATCTGAAAGCACACGATTCCCAGAGATGCCCCCAGTCAGGGGCAGACACGCCAGGAGAGCTGAACGCATCTGCCAATCAGATGTAAGAAAATGGCAGGTGACACCGAGGTACCTACAGAGAGAGAGAGAGAGAAGTGGACTCATCAGTGAGGGAACCAAACCAAGTGGGAATCATGTTGTTTTTGATTGATTTTTACTTCCTTACCCTGAAGTGGCTCCAGTTAAGCCCCTCCAGAGATCCAGGCTGAGACTGAGGGCGTGCGTTGAGGCCAGGGCCTGACGGGTTGCTAGCTGAGCCTGGTAGGCGTAGGCTGGGAGGAGCTGGCTCTGGATGTAGTGCTGGCGCTCTGGGGTGTAACGTGGCTCCAGGAGCTTAAGTAGCTCTCTGAAACCTTGATTTTCCACTATGGACACTGGCTGCAGGTCACGCACAATCATCTTAGCTATAGCCTCAGAGATCAGAACCTACAGCGAAAAAAATATATAAATGCCCTTTATTATAGCTTCACTGTAGATGTACAAGTGTTTCATACTGCTACACAATAAAACACACACCTGACGTGGGTCATGTCTGTCAAACCTGGTCACCCCTCCTCCAGAGCCTCCTCCTGTTCCACCCTCGAGACTTCCCATTCCTCCAACACCTCCACCTCCTCCTCCTCCTCCTCCTCCTCCTCCAGTACTGATGGGAATAGTGTAGCGGGTATTCCCTCCATTGGTGGTGAAACTATGCAGAGAACCAGAGGAGTAACCCTCTCTCTTCATATCCTTTCTCTTCACAAAGTCATCATACATAGCCTGGTGTTTCCGCTGAGTGGAAGAGAGACAACAGTGTTATTAGTTGACAGGTGGAATAGTTGATTCACTGTTTAGGCATACATCTCCACACCATACTGCCTTGGGGATGAAGATACAGTATGGGTAAATCCCCCCTTTGCAGAGAAGCAACAGACAGCCAGGTTTACATAGCTGACAGTGTGTAGTATAAAAAGATGCCATAGGGACATATGAAATATGATAAAACTGAGAATGAGTGTAGCTGCTTCCTCCCTCTGTATCAGAAAGGGCACACAACATTTTATTTTGAAATCATTACCTTGAGATGCGTTACGAAGTTGGACGTGACACTCCGCTTTGCCTGGATTCTGGTGCCACAAGCCTTGCAGTTGGACTCGATTTTGCCATTTTCACCTTCAAACACAATATTAAAGTAATCCAGAATAGACACCTTCGAAACTGACGCCATTGGAGCCCACAGTCCCTCTGCTCCGAAGTGAAATCAACTTGCGATCAAGGACAATCTGAGTCTGAGGTATCAATCTCACCTCGCCTCTAATCATGAGCGCAGGCCGGCGTGTTTACTTCCCAATTCCTGATCACACATCAAAAAATGTTGCTGCCAGTTGCGCAGACAAAAGAACATTTAATCCCAAGCGGGAGTTGCGTCGCTTGCACGTCCGAAATCGGCCACAATCAGACTACAAGGGGCTGCTGCGGATGTCTGGAAACATCAATAATATGATAGAGAGGCTACATCCGTTGTTTTCTGCGCTCCTATTTGTCGTTCGGACGCAAGTGGAGAAGAGGAGGCAGAGCATTTCATGGAGGCATACAGACAGTATTATAACTGGAGCAGGAAGTACACACAATAAACGGGAGTTTCGTTTCCCGTTTCGACAGTTCCCGGTAATGTTCGGCTGTCCCCAGTCAAGCTGCTTGGATCGGAGGGTGGTGGCGCTCGGTCAGATGACTTCAATTATGGTCGTTATGATAAGAGGAGGTCGTTTGCCTCTGGTGTTATACTCGCAGTAGGATTTGCAATTAACGCTGGATTTCTGTATTCAAAATAGATTTTTTTTTCCCAATTTAGTTATTTTTTATTTTACCATTGTTCTTTTTTTTTTTTTTGAAAAAACACAAATACACATATTACTTAAAGGACAATATGGTGCCACTCTCTAAAACAGCCTAGTGGATTTATTAATGGTTGACAAGTAATTTAATGGTAACTGTACTCATCGGTTATAAGCCATTATGAAGAACGTTTGGGTTGCCAGGTTGTGAAAATACCCTTATCGATTAAAGCATAGTAAAAATAAAGTTCGTTTGTACAGCAGTTCTTAAAAGCAATATAACAAAGTGCTTTACATAAAATATAAACAGAGAATAAAATCAACAGGCAGAAACAACTAAATATGAGCACAAAAACAATTTAACCTACAACCTTATTATGAACTGTGAACGATATGCTAATCAATATGTTTGACTATTCACTTTATGGAAAAGGGATGGAGAGGATCTGCTCCACAACATACTTATTAACAACTTATTTAGCATTCATTTATGGATTGCCAAAAAAAATTACATTTCCATTATCACCAAATAAAAAGAATTAACACCAGTTAAAGAAAACAACCTACAAATGTTTTTTATTAATGGCTTGATTCATAAATCATCATTCATAGTTATTAATTGCAACTTTAAAAACGTCTTCTAAAAAGGTGCCATATTGGAAAGTGGTACTTACCATTTATTGAAAAGATTCAAACAGGTTCTGTTTATATTTATAAATTAATATACAGTCTACTACATTCACTTTATTAAGCCTCAAAGACACCATTCACAAACACATCTATCTCAAAAAGTCCACAAATGTATCAGTTAGACGGACAAAACGGCACAAGATCAAACATTATTTATATACCAATTAATCAAATATGGACAGCTTCATCTGTAATCTCCACTGCAAACTCCACCAGGAGGATCACTGTTGAGTTCAGTTGGCCCTGAAACATAATCTACTGACTAATCTGCTAATCTGTCACTCTGTGTGGCCACAGGCTCATCTCAGGTCATCTCCAGCTTCGACTCCATAAGAGTTATTTAGTCTGCCAACTTGTCCGACTGGGCTGCTGAGGCTTTCTCCTGGAGAATGTGTTTGTCTTTCATGCTGTGCTTCAGCTCCTGTCTTGTGTTCAACACTGAAATCTGGAGGGTTGCAATCTCAGCTGACAGCTCTATTACTGTAATATGACAGAAAAAAGAGAGGATGAAGGACGAGGATGTCATGTCATATGGAGGATGGGTTTCTTGTTGATAAATAAATAATGGCATTTGTGTGTCTATGCATTGCTATATGTATCCATATGGCTATTGTTGTGAGTATACACATGCACCTATATATACACAAAGATAAAATCCTATGTGCTGAACAAATACAAGAAACCAATGAGAGCTCAACACACTGCAAATAAAGAAAGTATCTTCACCAATCTGATAAGATATACGTTACATAGTATAACAAAACATACTGCAAAAATAGAAAACAACAACAAAATACAGAAATGTGCTGCAAAAACAGACTACACAAGCTAATAGAGAAAACACAACCATATACAGACCGCACAACTAAATACAGGGAAATCTGCCAAATTGTACAAAGCTGAGTTGCATAACAAAATGTTTCCTGGGGACACTGAAACCCAAAGAACACACTCAGACATGCAAATAGTTGCCATGGTTTGTGGTTCATGGAGTTCATTACCTGATGATACAGGCTAAAGGTAGCCTGCATCCCAACTGGGAGGCCAGTAAGGTTAACACCAGGTGTATAGCAAATATCTACAATAATATCTTAATCATGTATCAGTTAGCTTATTTTATAACATCAATTACAAGCAGTCAGAAGGCTGGTCTGTTCCTGTATTTGACTGTGTTTTCTGTATTTTTCTAAAAGTTTTTTAAGCTGCATGTGTATTTTCAAAATGGTGTTTCGCATTTTTGGAGTTTTATTTTTCTGAAATGTGTTAAATGTTTTATAATTTCAGTTGAATTGGTAAAGCATGTAAGAATGTGTTATCTTAAGTTGCAATGACTTGAGCTCTCAGGGCCACATTAAACATATCAGGAAAGATAAATTGATTAAATATAGGATGTAATGTGTATAACTGTTGCATTATCCATCTATTCTTAGCAGTATCTAGTATGTACATACATATCAAAATTATGACATAATCTTGGTTATATCTTATATAGTATTCACGGATTAAAAACGAAACAAAGTATATACTCTTTTGGAAATGTAATATCATACCTTGCTTGAATGACAACTGTGCTTGTTTAAGAGACTGTGGCACCAGAATCCCAAACCATTTCAGTGGATCTTGCTGAGGATTCTGGTCACATTTTCTTACTGGAGTTACTTCAGGAGCTTTCTCACTACTTGCTTCTTCACTTTCTTTTTTCTCTGTGATATCCGTTTTTGGTTTGATTCTCCTCCTGACACCTATGAAACCACATCATGTAATAAATAAAGATGTATTAGTTTATAGTAAAGGTAAACAACATTCATTTTGACACAGCACATTGACTATGGCAAGCTCACCTTCTTCTTGAGGTCCAATATCCTCTATTGACCTTGCATCTGTTCCAGCCTCATTGTTACACTTTTGTTTAACCCTTTCTGTGCAGAAATCCACCTCACCACTGTCAAGAGTTCTGCAACACATAAATCCAACTTATAAAAAGTTTTAAAAAAATTGACAGTCCACTGGACAACGAGTTAGTTAGTCTAGTTCCTCACCTAGTATGAACGGAGACCAGTGGCTCTATCTCGCTCGCATACTGAAGTGCGGAGACTTGTTTGTTTCCCATGGAATATCGAGCCTTGGACATGGAAAACCATCCCTGTGGGGAACACAAAATGGTAACTTTACATAACACATAGGTGCTAAAGTGGGTTCAGAGGACACAGGATAAAACACAAGCTTCAAACATAAACAATAGGGAGTGTGATGTGCACATACATCTGGAGACAGAACTTTAGGCAGGGCTAATGATGGTTGTGAGGAAGAAAGAAGAATTATTCATGTTTATTGAGTATACTAGACATTGGTTATTAATTATCTCGATTGTTTGGTCTGTAAAATGTTAGAAGATAGCGAAAAATAATCCCTTACAATCACCCAGAGCCCAAGCTGACAGTCAAATGTCTTGTTTTGTCTCATCAACAGAACAAAACCAAGGTAAGATATTCAGATTACTACTACAGAAACCACCAAATCCTTACATTAAAAACAATAACATATCCAAAAACCAGAAATGATAGGTGAACTCTACATGGTATTCTGTGCTACCTGCTCTATGAGAGAGTTGAGAGTGGCTCGTTTCTCCTCCAGTAACTCCAGCTGCTCCATGAAACCGAGCAGCTTTTCGTCCAGTAGCTGAGAAGATTCCTCCAATTCGGACACACCCATGTCTTCTTTTTGTACTAGCTCAAATACTTTCTCATACAGTCTTTACCGCCGTCGTTTCTACTAAAAATCAGCCCTTAAACGTTAAAATAGACTGCATCGACCCGTTAACAGTACAATAGACGTTTGATACTTCCGTATAGCATCATGTGACACGTGACGTCAAGTGTTTAACACCACGTGTCATTGCAGTAAAACAATTATAAAGTAAAACACAAAAATCACGTGTCTTTGTTGTATTGCAATTTTGAACGTGTGTGAGTAGCATATTTTTACTAATTTATGAGTATATAGTATAGTATAACACATATTAACAAAGCAAAGCAAGGTGTATATCTTTAATGCATCTAACGGTTCATCCTGCATGGTTATAATGTTTTCACTATTATTTTAAAGTTACTACAAAAATAATCTGACGGAATATTTGTCTTCATAAAAGTTAAGTATTTAGGAAATTATGTTAGAAAACAATATACAAAAGAGTAGTTCCCATACCGGGAGTCGACCCCGGGGCCGCCCTGGGTGAAAACCAGGAATCCTAAGACCGCCTAAGACCCATATGGGACCGGTTTTTGAATTTATTGACGTATACTTGTTAAAGGGTATTATGGTATGCCAGGCTTTTTTTCTAACGTAACATCGTTGTGTAGTCCTAGAAAATCTGCCGTTCCCCTTCACGTTTTTGTTTACTTGTTAACTAATTAACTTTAGAGTAAATATATAATGGCTGCAATCTGAACGAAACTCGCCTTTAAGTTAAACTTACGCAAGTTTTAAGAACAAACCGTTCAGATACACGATGTGACGTGCAAGATATGCGCAAGCAGCAATAGTGAAAATAATACTGAGGCAACAGTAAGCTTTATAATGTAACTAACTGTTAATGTAACGGTTAGAATTTAATGTTAATGCACATCGCTTGATATTAGCCAATTATTTCGACCATCAAACGAACATTTATAAAGTTGTTTAACGTTAACATAAAAAAAATAATTAGCGTAAGTCATTAATGTAGCAAAAGATTCAAGTTTCAAGATTCAAGAACTTTATTTACCATTTGTGCTTGCAACAAGAGGAACTCATGGTGGCGGTTGTTGATCAGAGAGTCAAGTCAGGTATAAAAAAAGCACCAACGGAACGACATAAAATCTAATCTAGCTAAACATATACATTTAAATTGCACGAAACCCCATCTAAAAGTGTAAATTTGCATTCCTGAATTGGCACATGTATATTGCATAATGCATATATGCATAGGCCCCGAACAAACATATTAATATAATATAATATGATATATTATAGGCAAAGTGCATTGTAAGTGATTGCCACAGGATATTGCACAGCCCCGGAAGACCATTAGTTCATCTTTTTTTGCCAAGAGTCTCACGTGTGGCAGGGAAGGAAGCTTCCTTATGAACAGGTTGTATGTGCAGTTGTTTGTGTTTTGAGGGCAGGGAGTGAGACTGGTGTAGTGTGTCTCGTGATGATTCTGCTCTGCTCTTTTCTGACAGCGCTTGTGTGTACGTTAGCTGCCAAGGAGAACTTATTAAGTAGTTATAGCCGTAAGCTCCTATTTTGTTATCAAGTTATAAAGATAAGGAGCGCCACTTTAAACACTGACAGTAGAACCAAACACTAATATCTGCTGAACGCCGTACGCGGCGTAGGTCTCGTAGCCTTACCCATAAAGGGCTTCCGCAGCTGGGTGGTAGCATAACCCCCTCCCAGTAGGCTCCGGCCGTGATCGTATAGTGGTTAGTACTCTGCGTTGTGGCCGCAAAGCAACCCCGGTTGAAAATCCGGGTCGACGCAGGGTTAACATCCCTGACACGGCTTGGGAGGATTTTTTTTTTGCCCTTTATGCACAGAAGTTATGAGTTAAAGTATTTGCTACGGTGTCGCGCCCCAAAACAGGGAGTTATTTAACTTTTTTATTTAACTATCGATTCCTGCCATGCACGTTTATATTATTTCATGTGCAACTTCCTCGCCAATATGGGTGAACCTGGGCCTGTGTATTTTAGTTCGCTGACTATCAGTTAATTTAAGTTTGTTTTCCAGGCAATTTCAAATGTAATGTCTTTTCCTTCATTGATATTTTTTTTTAATAATCTCCCTTGGTTACGTTGGGCAGTATCATCATTAGTATTTAAAGGTTTAACCTTCGGCGCGATGTTGTTCTAAAGCTCATTTCTGCCGTAGTGTCTGTGGACTCCTGCAGCCCGTCAAAGTGAAAGATCTACCGTTAGAAAGAGTCGAAACTAGTAAAATAATTCCATTTTAAAATGCAATATCTTTACATAAAGAGGCCGTAATATTCACCCTTGGCACCGAGTGTTGACCATATTTTAGCCAACAGTGTTCATGAAAGAGGGGGACGGTCGTCTGGGAAGTAAGAGAAAACGCCGTTTCATTGTGGTTGCCAACGACACGTCCATGTTTCGCGAGATGAAAGAGCCAATCAAAACGGGCCCAGGCCAGATCGCCAATGTCCGCTTATGTCTAATGCAGTACGGTCATCTGATTGGTCGTTGGCGATCAACAAGTAAGCCTGCCCGCAATAAACTCTAGTTAGTTTCCGCAGGGGTTTGAGTTTATGCTGGCTACGTGTAGTTAGAAAGCAGTGGATAACTGGACCTCCTAAGAATATTATTATTTTTTAAATCATCATATGCATTAATTATAGCGCCTGTGGCTGGACATTCATCCCCTGGTAAGGTAAGGGGACCAAAAATACACAGTTTATTATTGCTTGTAATCTTATAATTTGGAACTCCATTGAATGCATCACTCCCTGAACCTTTTATACGTCTCAATTGCAACAAGGGATTGCTTCAGACGTGACTATGCAATATTATATTGTTAATATAAGCACTGTTGCTGAAATAAATCAATTTTAAGCCTGTTGTGGATTGTTGTTTTTTGAAAGAGTGTTTACCATCCTTTCTTGCAAACAGATGATGCGATGCCAGCATCCCAGCAACCTGGAGTTCTTCATCCCCTACTGGGACGGACCTTTGATTCCACCTATGTCTGCCAATGACGCGTTCTATTGTCAGAGATTCTGGTGTTCCTGTTTTTCTGTGTCTGGGGTGTGTTTCTGGCTTGTGACATGGCTGATCACCGCGGGCCAGAAGGGCACCGGGCCCAGGCTGGGGACGTGGAGGGCGTTTGCCGTGTGCTGGTTTTGCTTGTGTTGGTTTCATCATGGTGTCATTCCGTTCTCCCAAAACTGTATTATGATATTATTCCCGGAGACCAGACTTCCTGTCCACAGCTCTGTGGTAAAACAATGAAGAACATGTTTAGTTTAAGAAGTGCATAAAGTGTGATGGTGCCAGTCTTGAAGTGCCCTTTCAGTTAATATGTGTTATACCCTTTCTTCCCCCTCAAGGGGAAAGAGTACTCCAAAGGAGACAGTAGATAAAAGTAATGTGAGTTCATCCTTTATGGCAGACTTTGTTGAACTTTTGGCAATAAAAAAGAAGGTAATTTAATTGTAACCCTGCATATTTTCTTTCTCTGTAGAGCGGATAAGCTTTCACAGTCTGTATGGAGACCTGTGACTGCGTGGTTATGGGGACCCTTCAGCTTTTGGCAAGTGTTGCCTTCTTAACCTAGACAAGGCCCTACCGATTTTGTTCTGCCAAACTCATCATTTCATTAGGTAAGAGTAAATTAAGGCAAATCTAATCAAATTACTTATTGTTTTACCCCAGCCAACTGGGTCTTTTTAAACATAAATCTGATTCCAAGGTCAGCTGTATGGGCAGTGTTTTTTCTACTCTACACGGAGCAGCAGAGATGGTTATGCTCACAGTGAGCTGGGGAAAACACCAGTCACTCCTGGTTGTCTAACTTTTGTTGTTCCATGAATGTGCTGTGGGTCGTGATACCGCCTAGCCGGCTCATTTTGGATGGCATGGAGGCAGGCGTCAGCCACAAACAAGGCACACACTGACAGGGCACAAAGTCACACAAGTTCAAAAAGAGGAACTGACCGCAGTGGCGGTCTAAAAAGAGCACGCAGTACGACAGAAATTCATGCAAAGTGGATGCTTTTACTGGTAAACAGGCATTTCAAAAACCCCCTGGGTTAATATTAACATCGGTTACTGGTAAAGAACCATAAGAAGGCATTTTATCATGTTTCATTTTACGCATAAGGGCGTGCCCAAGGAGGGGGATCTTTTTCTGTGTTTTTAACCCTTGGGCCAAGTTACAAGAAGAACTTACTGTGGGACAGTAAGAAACAATGCACTGCTGAAAACGAGTGAAGGGAAAGGACAGCTGGAGAGAGCAT